GTTGAAAGCAAATTGATCCCAATTCCCAACAACACTGACTGGCATTCTGGAAGAAAAAAAAAAAAAAAGTCCATGGATGAATGGGAGGACAATATGACTTCACTAAAGAGCATTTAATTTCCAAGCTAGAAAGGCAGATGTATAAACAAGGGATGTAGAACAGGCTTTTAGAATGGTCAATGCCTTGTCAGCCTTGTTTCAGTCCAGACTGAATATATCACATTTTTTTTCTCCCCACAGTAGCACCCACAAACCTCTTAAATAAACAGCGAGGTCACTTGAAGAATGCATCTATGAGGAACAATCTCTACCACTCACTCATTACTGAAAAAATAAGTGGAAAACAAAAACAATCATCACTATCCATTTTGCACATACATCTTTTTGTCATAGGTTTTTAAAACAAAACAGTAAATATCTCTTTTTAACATTCCCCCTAGCCTACCAATGACCTGGCCTGAATACAGTCCATCTGACTCGAAAAGGTGCTGGTGAAGCAGACAAATTTCCTAGTGCAAAAGGTTATATTAAAGAATGTTCCACAGGGCAAATAAACAGGTGAGATGCCAGAAGACAGAGAATGTGTGGTGAATTTAAGAATAGAAGCTGATCTTTTTATGGCACAAAATGTCCTGCTTTCATCAAAGGACCCAAAGATAACATTTCCCATCTGTGGAATTTAATGAATAACTTCTGTTCTTTTTTTTTTGAAAAGAAATAGAAAAAATGGACATGTCACTTCTTAGTCAGTGCCAATATAGAGTTTCCTTCATTTTAAGAAATGCAAGAACAAAAAAGCATCATTCTACTTTGAACTGCAGACAGTTGAGGCAGAGACTTAGGCACAACCAGGAAATAGGGTGACTTTGAAAGCTCAGCTCATGGGTGGCTTAACTACTACAACAGGACTGCCTAAAAGCAGGAGAGGCTCAGGACAAAGGACCAGGAAGAGTTAAGAGATCAAGTTCAAAAGATGTAAATCACCTGAAATTTTACATGTATGTACAGGAGGACATACCTAAAATGCTTTCAAATTGCATTTCAATAAAACCAGCCAAATTCCTCAACCACTGTTGCTGAGATTCAGAAAACCTGTGCTCTTCCAAGTTTATCTGCTAGCTTATTCATAGAGTCATCATTATGGTTGGAAAAGACCTTCAAGATCATCAAGTCTAACTGTAAACCCATCACCACCATACACACTAAACCACGTCCCTAAAGTGCCTCATCTACAAATTTCTTGAACACTGCTAGGGATGGGGACTCCACCACTTCCCTGGACAGGCTGCTTCAGTGCTTCCAGTGCATGTCCTTGGGGCGAGCACTTCGCCTTTTTCCATCTGTAAACCCCAGTGTGAAATGGTGATGACACTGGCATCTTCTGCAAAGTACAGGTCTACACAGAGGAAGCGACACAAAAATGTTAGATCAATATTACTATAAATTATTACCATTAATAGTCCTAATACCTTTGAATTCTGCAGATGAGAATGCAGATGATTCTTCTCTCTGTTGTTTTCACTTCTTTAAATGATCTGGCATAAATACCAGAAACATCTGTTTTCACTTTTAACATGACCTGCAAATTTTAACATGACATTTAGACCAAGGACTCTGATCCAAAAGCAGAAGTCTCTCACTTAGGCATTAGGACTGTGATTAGTCCTTCCCACTTCTCTGCCTCACCCCTTTTTCTGAGGTCTCATCATTGCTGCAGAATATTTCTGTCTCTTTAACAACTTTAAAGAAAATCCAGGACCGTTATAATCCTAAATTAGACCTCCTGGCTAAGATGAATCCAAGGACCTGTACAGTAACTTGCCTACAGGGAGAAAAAAAAAAAAAAAAAAGGAAACTGACCTTTAGCTTTTTTGAATCAAAATATGGAAACTCACTATGTAACTAAGTGCTCACATATGAATTAGATTGAATGAATCCATCTGTCATTGTGGAACAATTCATAAAAACTAATTATGTTATAAACATACACTGAGTGTAGTGATATGTTAAGAACTAACAGTGATGATTAGACACGAGCAATTTCAGACAAATTACATGCAGCACACATTTTTCCAATCAGCAAAGATAACACTTACAGCATGATCCACTGAAAAAGGTTACTGGATCAGCTGCAGAGGGATTCTTTGAGTAATCATTGGGGAAAAAGTGGTTCATCATTTTGTTTTTATTTGCCACTGTTGACAAAGTGTGACAGAATGATTATTTCAGTGTTCCTGCCCTCATGGTGTTTCCAACTTTTGAAGACAACTAGAATGTAATTGCCAGTTATACATAAATGCTCAGCGTTTTACACAAGGGAGATAAAATGATCTGCAAATCTATATCTGGGTGGATTTGCTGCATTTACCCTGTAATCTTGTATATCTCTTCCTAAGTACATTGGTAAGTTGGGAGAAGTCTGGAGTAGAGCAATAAAAATAAGGTTTGGACAGGATGTACTGATGAAAAAGGGAGGAACTCTGACATCAGCTTGCAAACGTCTAGCGGATGGGGAGGAATTCTTTAGAGGGCATGTTGGATTAGACGTGAGAACGATAATCAGAGGAAACTAAGTAAATGAACAGTCAGGTTTAATATTAGAAAATACAGCCAAAGCAGAGGCAGGAGCAGTGTAGTCAATATCATCAAAATCTCCAAATTCAGTATTGAGGTTACCTGCAAAAGCTCTTTCTTGCACTTCTCTATGCTTTATAGAAGAGACACGTGGGGTTACCACAAAGAGAAAAATGATAAGATTATAGTTGTGTGCACTACAATCAATTAATAAGTGGCCATCTGAGAAGAAAGACAGGAACTTCATGGATACAGACCTTTTAAAGAGAGTCTTGGCAAACCACTCCTGTGCAACAGGACATAAAACATCCTGTATTATCCCCTGAGAGATTGGCTGGATATGACCTAAAGGGAGTTTTCCATCTCTAATGTCTATGATTCACTATATATCATGCTTGAGATCTTCTAACTCCTGGAAAAAAAAGATGATAGTTCTTTTCCATTCCTGGTTTAAGTTGCTATCCTCATAGCCACAACATAACTGGATGCTGAATCCACTTACCGAAATGCCGAAAGGAAGAAAAGAATCCGTTTGAAAGAGTTACAGGCAAATTCTATTCTCAGTTTAACCACTACAGACTAACATCGATATCACTTATTTTTTTTTAATTACTCTAAATGAATTCCTTGAGAACAGACAGCAGAATCTAGCCCTTCGTACTAAAGCCACAGCAGGGAGGCCTCAGCCTTAGGGCAAAAGTCCCCTGGAATCTGACTGTTGTTGTAGTCCTTAGGCATGTGCATTGCAGTGTGCTCTGAAATATAAAGTACTGACAAATGTTCTTAATAAAATGTACGACAATTTGCATCAGCTGCCTAACTGACGTAAATTAAAAAAAAATCACAACAAAAAACCCAGCTATGTCTACTGAGGTTTCTGTAACTGATTAAGAGTCACCAACTTGGAAAATATATCACTGCTCTTGATTCCCACTCCTACGTAAGAGTACAGTAGTAGAAGAAATGGAACCACTCTATCGTATAATTTGCAAAAGAAGGGGATGATGGTGTCTGATTCCCTGAATAACTTTGATTTTATTTTTAGGGGGAAAATGACAAAGGCATAGCTTTTACCTGCACTGACCTGGCTGTCCATTTTGCTATTTAGAAGACATTTTCCTTGCTGGAGAATGGAATAAAATGCTACGATGGTGCAAAATCTTGTTTTGAAGCTTGAAAGGTTACCTTCTTTATATGAATGGATAAGGAGCCTGAACTATAGGAGAAGCTAATCCATTTTTAGTCCAATCTCTTCTGTGTTAATCTGATTTGGATAATGCAGAAGCTAATCTATTTTTAGTCCAATCTCTTCTGTGTTAATCTGATTTGGATAAATTTATTTGCTTTCTTAACTAAATTTAACACTTATAATCCTGTGAATAATGTAAAGCATTACATTAATTAAAATGAAAATTAAAATTTGTCAGTATTAGGAAAGTGCAACTAAAATCAGGCGTACGAGATGACAGTTAATATCAATATTTGTTAATATAGCATCTAGCACCAGCAAGAGAATTTCAAATAGTAATCCTACATCAAACACAAGATGGTCTGATTATGATAAAACATGTCTTTAAGAAAGATGGTCATCTTGATGGTAAAGTCTGTTGATATAGATTAGTGAAATCCATATGCAAGCTTTTCCAGAGGTAATTTAATGTCTGTCATTGCTTTGAAACTTTTAACTTATTTTTTTTATTTTCATCATAATTAAAGCATTAATTTCATAGATGTTCGAAAGGGAACTTTTCAATTATAATGTCATTTTAACTATGTGTTATTATCTTAATTGCTAAAACAATATGGCCACATTCACCATTCACATTCAGCATTGGCTACAGGATTCAATCAAACTGGCTACCCATCACTAATTATAAAATGTGGGCTTTCAGTCACTTCAATTTACATGATGAAAATATCTACAGGGAGGCTGGTTGTGTTGATGACACTGTAATCTGGTGATCAAGTGAATAGAGACCAGGGCAATTCGCTCAGCAAAACCTGACCATTCAGCCAGGTGAACAACTTTTGACTCCACGGACTGCAATGACTACACCTTAGTTCATATATACAGACCTACACAGCAGCCACTTAATATAAGTGTCCTCATGACACTTATAGACTCCCCCTTTAGAAGATCAGTTTAGTAAAACAAGGAAGCATATAACATTGGAGATGCTGTCGACTACCCAAGCCATTTACAGATGTGAGCCAGATGTGAGACGGAACCTGCAACCAGAAAAGAGACCACTGGAGTATCAGGTCAGGGGCCAAACACCATGTCTGAGGACATCTAAGATAGCACTGAACTCCTGAGTGGGCACCCACTCACAAGCCCATAATGTCCTAGTTGACATAGTCATTTCAAATGAATTTTAAACTTATTATTTCATTTTTAATTAAAGCTAGAAGAATGGAAAACATACCTGGCAAACATCATAGTGCTCGAAGAGAGACAGCAAACCGATATCACTGCGACTTGTGATGCCTTTCAGAATTGTGATATTGCCATTTCCAGAGTCCAGCTCTATCACATTATTAAAAACATTGGATACAGCTTTGCCAGTCAGGAGCAAGTTCACCAATTCCTGATTGTGATAGATCAAAATAAAATAAAATAAAAAGAAAGGAACAGTTATGCATCTTGCCTGCACCAGACACCAGTACACCCTTTATTCAGGATAGATAGGTTTATGCATGCACCATACCCTTAATTTACATATGGGTGGTTCACTTGATTAGTTACAACAAGTTTTCAGAAGTTTAGGCTACTTCTAAATTAAAATGGAGTGCTATAATTTGTATTTTCAATAATCAGCTTTAAAAAGGCAAGCTGCTGATAATGAATTTGTTTTCAAATTAAACTCTCAGCTTTCTCAGAATAGGGATATTTTTTCCCGAAGTAAAACATTTTGGTGTCCCATTTTCTGTACAATGAAAACTGGAACATAAATATTATATACTAAAAATATATGGACTTGCCATGGATGCGCATGCATATATGTTTAATATGATTAATATTAGAGAATATCTAACTCTATCAGTATTATGTGACCATTGGGAATGCAAGACTTTTTTGGCTTTAGATTGCAATGGAACATGCAAGAATTTGTGGTCCTCTCTCATTCCAAGATCCTTCACTTTTCTCTAGACTGAGAAGTCAGGACCGGGGAGAAGCCATTTGTCAAAACCACTGGTATATGTGATGGGAAAGTATCATCCTAGTACATCATTTGCATTGGAGAAAATACAAATGGCTTCCAAACTGTTTTTATGGACCAAGAATGTCTTATGAAACCACTACAACTAGTTGGAAGCTGGGCTACATGAAAAATAATCTGACCTACATGAAAAATAACCTGTAACTCACTACTTCAAAAGGTTTTGGTCTCATTCTGGGTTATTCTTCCAATGTATTTTACAGCACAATTCTGTAATTTCTGTATGTGATGTATACGTGATATATGTGATGCATGTGTGCATAGTGATGTATTTTTGTGTTTCGAACACAATTACTCCTGGATGAACTTAGCTTCACTTAGTAAGAAATTCACCCTTTTGGCTTCAGGTCTGATCTATATCACGTACATTCTCAAACTTGTTTTACCAGACAGATTCTTTGTGTCTATCTGAATTAGAATTAGGGGTGTGTAGGAGGCTAAAAGATGAGCAGGAGTGAGCACAAGGGGTGTGTAGGAGGCTAAAAGATGAGTGGGAGCGCGCACGTGTGTTTTTGTGTGTGCACACAATGCACATAAAATCTGAGGGTGTTTTTGTGTGTGCACACAATGCACACAAATCCACGCAACAGAAAGAGACAACAGACATTTCACTCAGCATAGGCAAAATGAGGATATTCCAGTGGCAGCTTTGACATAACAGCAAAAAACCACTATCTAGTGGGAGACTGTGCTACAGAAAAGAAACATCTAACCATTAACAAATAGCATACATCAAAAAACATGAGGGGAAGAAACAAGAAAGTTTCCATGAAAAAAATAAAACAAAATACCATGCCCTAAGACATAAATAACATGTATTATTATAAAAATAACTTCACCCATTTATATTCCAATTTTTCTCTTGAAGGAACCCCCAAACCTTATAGATTCTTACCAATCTTTACAAGGTTTCTGAATCTGCCAGTGATTTTTCATCATCTTTCTCAGAAATCACTGTGCAACTTTAGTATAAAATGCTGTAGCAATCAGCTGAGGGAAGAAAATGGGAGCACCACATATTTAATGATGGCAGATTAAGACCAAAAGTTTCTGCCATATCCCAGCTTTCAAGGAATCCATGTCCTAGAATTCTAGGATCTACATTTCACCTATATTTTCCAACTGATTGGATGCTTCTGCAAACCTAGAAGTCAATGAGCAGGATATGCCTGGTACTAAACACGAGCTGGAATTTAGCATAAAATTGTGCTTATTTTCAAGAATCATTTCTCTTGCAAACTCCTATAATCCATGTCTCCAGCTTGAAGAATCAGTATCAGCTCAGCTGGCTGAATAGCAATCGCTTATACAGAAGGATGTCAAACACAACACCATTCTGGGACGGCAAGGAGGAAATTCGGATTTCTGTGGCATCTTTAGCTCAGCCCTAAACTCATCTAAATTCCAAAAAAGTTTGAAAGCGACAATGCCGATTTACATACTTAGGTATAGACACACTAAAAAAAAAAGCCAAAAAGTAGGCTCTGAAAGCAAAGACAACAATCTTTCAAAATACATGGGGAAAAAAAAATAATAAGTTAAGATACTTGGGACTACAGGAGGAAAAAAATAATAATAAAATGAGGACTCGAAAAGGAATGTCATCTCTTTCCAAAAATCTGTTCATAGTTCTGCAGGTCTATGGTAATCTCCAGTCTCCCAACTTACATACCTGAGTGCAATACCCATGGCTGCCAATCAGTCGGTTCGTAAGGACATCAAAATCATTGCGCACCCTGGAAAGAAGCAGGGAAGATTTAATCACAACTGCCTCTTCCCACTAGTCTTTAAATTAAAAAGAAATTAAAAAGGAAGTTTCCTTGGAAAAAGCCTGTTTCACCATCACAAATCAATATTAGATAACTCCGCATTTTGGAATCCATTCCATAATTTCTTAATACCAATGAAAGTTGCTAAACCTGTGGCAAGGAGAAGTTAGTAAAAATTCGTCCAAAGAAAACAGTGAGAGAGGAAAAAAGGAGCTATTGGCACCAGGAGTTAGAACTTCTGAAGTTAGAACTACTAAGCTGATTCACTTACAGAATTAGTTAAGATTTTGTAACAAATACATACATTTGTTATTCACAGAATCACAGAATAGTTTGTGTTGAAGAGACCTCAGAGATCTTCTGGTCCAAACTCCCTATTTCAGTAGGGTCAGCCTTGTCAAGTTGCCTGGGACGTGGTCCAGACAAAATTAATTGCTCTCCCCTCATTTAGCAAGCAGTCCATTCCTATCTTTATTCTTGGGTTATACCCAGTAACTGAACCTGATATAACATATGCTCTATATTGTCCATGAGAAGAACAATAAGACTATAGGGGCACACATTTATACTGTGTGGTCCTTTCTTCTATTTTATGAGATTGAAGGGAAAAGTCATGTAATATCATTACTGATAATTATGGAGAAACACCTCTACAGGTCAAATTCCCTCTCCCACAACTCCTAGAATTATTGGGTTGGTGACTGGCTGATGTCCTAGAATATAAATGCTATCATTGTGATCAATTTTATCCTGCAGATATACTGTAATGGCAGACATTATAATATTTGTAAACATATGTGTAATCTGGTTTTGAGAAAAAATGTACTCTAGGACTGCTAAGGCATGTTTTCTTAGGTGGAATCCTGGGACATTTCCACATTTTCTGTCTTCATCCCAGACATTACAAACATATTTTGAGCATCAAAATTCTTAGAATCATTGAAATTTGAATCGCAGCACTTGAGGTCATCCCAATGTCCAATGTTTTAAGGCTATGGATAATTTACAAGTTAGTCCCATAGATAACAAAGTGTAGCATCTCTTGCTAGTGTGAAATCAAAGAAAAGTGTGTGTTTACGATATGGAAAATCTGCTCATTCAACACTGCAAGGAATGGATGGGCTGATAATAATCTTTGGAATTCAGCCATTTTTTAGTTTTAGAAACATTTTCATCTTGAAAACTCTGTAGCTGTATTTGAAATGAGTAGACTATACAATATGCGTCAGTTAGGGACGATGGGACACATGCGAGAGACAATAGGAGGAAATTCTAATTTCATCTGTAGGTACAAACAAGATGGGAGTATTAGAGGTGTATTTCAGAGTTTCAAGAAGATGCACATCTGCCTTTCAAATCATCTCTGCTGATGAGGAAACAAACATCAGGCATATAGGTATGAGATTACAAATCACTAAGTTTATTATTTATACCTCCAAAGACTTACCAGCTCCAAGGCGAGTGTTTAATAAAAGGTGTCAACTTTTAAGTGCAAGAACACCCCATGCACCATAAGACTATAAGAATGTGTTTTGGTTTTTTTGCATGTGCCTCATTGATTATGAACATTCTGGTGTCAAATCAGACAAAATCAAATGTCAAAATAGGCATAGTTAATAAACTTTTAATACTGTTTTGTCCCTGCAAGGTATCTTCAGTTTACAAATTTAATACCATTTTACAACAACAAAATATATTAATTTTAAGTCACAAGACGTAAAGTTTCCTGTTCATCCTGACAGTGAATCAAAGGCTAGACTCAGCACAAATCTCTTTTTCTTAATTCACAACCCACTGCTCTGTGTTGTGCTTTAGGTCAACAAAAAGGCACCACTGAAGAGGAGAGTGTAAATAGTACATATTTCTTCCAGCAGTGGAATTAGCAGTATTTTCCTGTGTCATGGAGGTATAGAAATCAGAAAATGAAGCATGAGAAAGAAATATTTTGACTCAGACTCAAAATGTTGGGTTTTTTTTTGTTTGTTTGTTTGTCCTTTGCCTCACCTGGCAATATTTCAAATCTGCAAAAAAATCTTTTTGATCAAAGAGCAAGCTACCCACCTGGCAATATTTCAAATCTGCAAAACGAAACAAACTTTTTGATTAAAGAGCAAGCTACTGATTTTGAAAATCTCTTGGGCGAATACTGAAAATTCACCATATGTTGAAATATCATTTTCTAAACTGGTGCATAATCAAAACACCTATGATGAGATGGGCTTAATTTCACATCATTCCATAAAAAGTCCCAACTGAAGCATCATGAACTTTTATTTTTTTGTCATGAGTGAAGTCTGAGCCTGTGTACAGATAGGGCACTATGATGGAAGAGGAGAGTGCTTTGAGCTCAATATGGATTGGAAGCAGAAGCAGCCGGGAAGTTTACTGAAGTGGATTCATTGCTACCAATTTCTAAGCAAATAGAAACTAAGGTGGTATTTTTTTTTTTTTTCCCGTGGGAAGGCAAGGGAAGGTAAGAAAGTGGGAGTTGGCTTTGGGTCCCTGCTTGTGTGTGTTACAACTCAGATTATCGTACTTTGTAAATGTAAAGTCAGAATTTCAGCTTTTGTCCCATTTCAGTCTTTGCCTTGGGACTCTTGAATTTCTGAATCCCGAGTTTCTAACAGTGCTGGAATTACCCAGCCCAGCTTTTTTGAGGTCATGATTAAAAATGCTCTCATAAGCTAAGCAATATGGCATATAATTTGCAATTCTGTGTTGCTTTCGTTTTAAGTTTTTTTCCCCACTAAAATATTTCAATTTAGGCTTTTTTATTACATAAAACCAATGTGTGGTAGTATGTGGCAAAGATAAAAATGTATATGGTAGCACATAGCTACATCACAGCAATTGGGGAAATATCTTCATAACAGAAATCGAACAAAACCATCTACAGTGAAATGTATATATTTTTTATTTTCTAATGCTGCTGGGATTAGAGGAGGAATCTCAGAAATAGCCATTCAAAATAGAACATGATAAACCTGATTCTCTTCATGCTCCTGTTAACTCTGTGCTAATCTTCAGCCTTGTTGGAAATTTCAGTTTCAAATTATCAAGAAATGAAGCAAAACATTTATTGAGGATGTAAAGTACTAAAGATATACGCATATTCTGAGTGAAGCCTCTGATTGCTTTGACTTTTTACAGTCCTATTGACATAGCTTGGTGACCTCAAGGCAGCCACGATAATTCTTATCAATCAATAATCTGCCTCATGTTTTAAATTCATTCATCTATTCTGGAAGGTACACATTACAAAAAAAATCATCTCAGTATTTTAGACAGATGACAGTTTAATTACAGTGCTGAAAATGCAATGACAGTTTAATTACAGTGTATGGATCAAGTTTGAAAAATGAGATGAGTAAATACAAATCCAAAATATAAATACTTGAAGCACTGCATACAGTATAAAATAATCTGTAATCAGATGACTTCTTTTTCTTTTAAATAAAAATGAATTAGATAAATAACACATTTTAAATGTTTTATGAAACCTTTGCCGATTCTTTAATGGAGATCATGAGTGCATTGTATATTAAATACAAAAGTCAGAGATACACTAAGCACTAGGAAGAACTCCAGCCTGTCAAAATGCGAACCCATTAATGTTAATTATTTTTCCTTCTATCCTTTGGACTGATAACAATTTAAGAACAATTTAGGAACAAAAACTAAAACAATATAAAGCAAAAAATGGAGTTTTTAAGAAAGTGCTAACACTTTTACTGTCCTTAACTGTCTGGCAAAGCTGTAATAGTAAATGGGTGACCTCACTTTGTTCATGGCAACAGACAGCTATATTAACAAACACACAATTACAAGTCTACTCCCAAAATAGAATTTGGGTTGGGAGGGAGAAAAACTCCTCTTCAAGTATAAGGATCTCAATAATTACAATGGGGATGTGGAAAATGACAGGATGGGTGACTGGCTTATTGTGTAAATGTTCCTTTTTTTTTTTAAAAAACTGGCACACTGCAAAGGTTTTAAATTAATGTTTAAAAGAGAAGGGAAGAACCCCTCAGTTAAAAAAAATGGGGGGGATGCAAACCAATTAAAGGAAGGAAGTAGCTTCAGTCTTAATTTACCACTTTTTTATACGTACTTGCTAAATTAATAAAGTTCTTAAAATGTACATGTAGGCAGGTCATCAAGCACATCAGCTCTGCTGGTACTCAGTGCTAACACACTATAGAAAGTGTTCATATATCAGGGGATAGATTTGATTTAAAAAATAATATAAGCCTTGGCAAATTCAAGACTGTGTTAGTTGTCCAATTTTTCAACGTAAATAATATCTTTCATTCTGTAATATGTTCTCCTGAGCCCAGTTCTTTAGTACTAAACTCAGATCTGCTTATCCTTGTTGAACTTAAGTTTAGCAAACAGTAAAACTGGACGCTGAATAACAGGACACTGGTTGGAACTTGGCAAAGAAATGGAGGTTGGGATTGGGAACGTGACAAAGCTGGTCAACGTGGTTTTGATCAAACACTGAAAGCGTGGGTCTTTCATGTCATTATTTTTTGTATCTAAAGATAAGCTTCTTCACATAAGCTTCACTTGATCACTCTGGGCTTCTTAACACTGTAGTAGATGGATAGAAACTGGTATCTCCTGAAGGTGATTTATGGGACCTAGCTTAGATAATTTGTTGAGCAGGGAATGAGCCTCTACTTGGAGTATCAGAGTCTGTAAAAAGAGCCTACTGTGACTGGGACGTGGTCCAGTCTAAATGTTATAAACCAAGGCTGGGACAGATAAATCACGCTCACAAAGATGTCAGCACTGCAGTCAGGTCGAGTATATCTTTTTAGCCTACAAATTGCGGAATAAGTTTGCTCTAGTAATGAAAACAATCTGCAGCCTGCTTTCATGAGAGTCTGCCCTTACTCAATGAGACAACTAAAGGCAATACATTAACACTTGGTTTCAAATAGGTTGTTTGCTATTTTAACTCA